CAGAAAGTCCAGTTGCCTCTTGAAAAAGCACCTTTGGGATTAGCATGCCGGGAAAAATTGGCCCGAATTCTGGTACTGCGGGGCCATGAAGTCCAACCATTTTCTCAGTGCACCAATCCAAGTTGAAGCATCCGTGACAAACAGCTGCCTAATCTAATTTGAAGATATCCAGTGAGGGGGACCATGTGATTGGTTGGCAATCCTTCTCCTACCCCAAGAAAATTAGGCAACATTCTCAGCCTCTCAGAAAAACATTTGCCAAAATGGTAAGATATTGTGGAAGATTTCAAAGGTTCAGAAGGAGAAGATTTCAGAGCAGGGGAGAATACTCCAAAAAACATCACTCAGTAGGGATCATTCCTTTCCAAAAGGCTTTTAAAAGGGAGTTTCTACAAGTGAAATGGCACAGTATCTTTTCCTGAACCAGTTGGTTTTGAAAATTATTTCAGGCTTCCTAACTGCCTATTCTTTATCGAGCTTTGGCTTAACTAGCCACAGTGTTGATTTCAAACTAATTTAAGGGCAATTCCCATACTTATTTTTAACATAGCGGTTTTAGGATGAAATCAACATAAATTGAGTTTTTCCAAGGGATTTTGCCACAATGAACTAAGCCTGTGGTTGAATACAACACTTCACATCTTTCAAAAAAATGTTTCAGGCCAGAGATGAGCTGTATTGTTACACGCCAAAGACTTGTTTGCTGTATTGAGAGAAAAAGAGAAAAACCCCTTGATAAAAATGAATGAATGAATGAATGAAGTTACAATTCTTCAACAAATCTAATTTTGGGTTTATTCTCTATTAATCAATGTTATCTAATTCACACCCTTATCAGTATAATAGTACAATATATATACCAAATCAGCCAGGGCTCTGTTATAGTCAGCTTTGTTATCTTCTACTACGTAGTTGCATAATTAACACTGACAGCCATCACTATTGATGTAAACTGGAGGAATAGAATCTTTATGTAGGAAGCTGCAGCAACTCCAGACTCACTGCTTCTGTCAAAAACCCCTCTAGAACGGAAACTCCCATCATAGCAGGGACCAAGAGTTCCCTGGGACAGTTAGCTAGAATTGCAAAGATGAAAATTTCTGCGTTAGATCATATACCTACCAGCACAAATGCATAACAAAAAGGCTAAGTCAACTTTGAACTTATTATATTGTATACAAAACCATACACTCATTATTCTATTTTTCAAGCAACTAATCATACCCATGAGAGGAAGTATAATACCACATTGATCTTCTGTAACAAAGGCAGGATGTTAATTAAAAATATATAAATACACTCAGTGGAATTTACTGACAGGGGATAATAAATTCTGCAGTAGAGCTATCAGATTTGGGATGCAAAATTATGGGTGATCAATAGATTGCAGCAAAAGGATACAAAAACCTCTCACCCTTTGGTGCCATCTAGAGGCAGCCTATGTATAGTAAGTCTGATTTATAGACTTCCGAGACTGGCAGTTAGTCGGGGGGGGGGGGGGGGGGGGGGAAAGATCTTATGTTCATTGGGAATGAAAGAAGGTGTTGAAATTTGAGGAATTATTAAAAGGTGCAAATGGCCAAGACCATTACTGTTACACGAAGATGGAAGTTTAGCTGCTCTTTGGGAGATAATGGCCTAGTAAATTTAACCCTTTTTGTCATACCTATACAGAAGTGGTGGGTTGCCCCCAGTTCGGAATTGTTCACAAGAACCAGTAGTAAAACCGGTGGGACGCCCCGCCCACCACTCCAGATGTCGTCACCAGTGATCTGCGCAGGCGCAGAAGCAAGGCATGTGCGCGAGCGAAGCAAGCTCACACGTGATCCCGTTGCGAACCAGTAGTAAAGGTAAGTAGAACCCACCCCTGCTATACAGACAGTCCTCGACTTATGATCACAATTGTGCCCAAAATTTGTGTTACTAAGTGAGACATTTAAGTGAGTTTTGCCCCATTTTACAACCTTTCTTGCCACAGTTGTCAAGTGAATCTGGCTTCCCCATTCACCTTGCTTGTCAGAAGGCCACAAAAGGCTTCACAGGATCTTCACATGATCCTGGGACACTGCAACCGTCATAAATATGAGTCCATTGCCAACTGTCTGAATTTTTATCTGTGACCTTGGAGATGCTGCAATGATTATGTTAAAAATGGTCATGTTACTTTTTTCAGTGATGTTGTGACTTTGAATGGTCATTAACTGAACTGCTATAAGTCGAGGACTACCTATAGTTTCCCTCCTCCCCTTTAGCCAGTTTCTACTTTGTGTCCCTTCTTCTCCACCCATTTTATTCTATATTCCCATGTAGATTCTCCTCTCTTTTATCCCTCTCCCCACCTCTTTTTTCTTCCAACGGCTTCTACTTTAAGGGGGACAATGTGCTCGTATGTATTTATATAGTTATATACTCTGATGTGAGACAATGGTGAGTATATGCAAATAAGAGATTTTTTAAAAAAATGTAAATTGGGAACCTTTTATAGACAGCCCTAGATGTGCATGTATTACATGGAAAATTTGGGGAATGGGACATAATGATCTCCAGGACTGGCTTCAGGTTATTTTCCACAGGAGTAAGGGTGTTAGTAACAAGGTGAGCAAACTGGGGACTCCACAGGATTATGACCTGTTCCCCCAATTTCACCTTTTTGGGGGGAGGGAGTCATGTAAAATTCAGGATTATTTTTATTTTAGAGTAAATATGGTAAATATTTTTTAACTTCCCTGTTTTTGGAAAAAAAATCACCATATTCCACTCCAGAGAAATGCTGACCTATACAAGTGGAGGTCAGAGTTTTTGCAATAAAGAATACTGGTCAATATACAAGTGAAGGAAAATGAAACCATATGTGAGTAATTAGACCACAGAAATTGCATTTACCCAGAAGTGCTATTTTAAAGCATGCTCTATGTTGATCTTCTACTTTTGTGGCATATTACATTCTTGGCACCCAAGAAGAGATTCAGTACATTAAGCTGGCCTCTCAAATGAAAGAGAGCGTGCAAATAAGCAATCTATTACATTTGCTGATGTTGCAAAGTTTTCTTTGATCAGATGCGATTAGCCCAAATTTCTCCTGGTATATTTTATTACACGCATTGTTCAATAAAATCCACTTTGTTTCCTGACTGTATTCTGTCCAAAAGGGGGGGGGAATCTTACGTTGTCAGAAATGCTGCTTTCCAAAATATATAAATTGGCTCAGTACTCAAAGAGGTGTACTTCTTCATAAAGAGCATGGAGTTTAGTTGGAGAAAGCAACAGAGAACACAAACCAATACCAAGACACAAGCCATTTTGATTTATGATATTTGATCAACTGAGTTGCTTCTGTCTTTTTCCCTCACAAAGGGCATCATTCCCAAATGCCGTGAGGATATAGCAGCCAAATCAACTACTATTTCCTGTTGCCGTTCTGCTCTTACTAGCTGGAGATTTCCTTTTGTCTTTCCTGCCGGTTGGTTTGCGGGACCATCTGTTCAAACCACCTGGGTAGGGAGGCTACAGGGAAACAGCATGATTTGAGTGACCAAGTGGCAAGCAATGTCCAGCTAGGCCAGACAAGACAACCTTCCAGCTTTAAGGAAATCTGGATCACCAGACTGGCCACCAAACTTAACAAGCCTCTTGTCAGCAATCCATTTCTGTCCCACGAGGTGGAAACCCTAAGAACTAGCATCTGAACTGGCTTTTCTTTGTTCTTCTAGCCCTGGGCACGCAGTTTGAGCCAGGTGAGTAGCCGCTGCCCTTTTAAAGTCAGGTTGCTTCCGAACTTCATGTATTTGGCTCCTCTGTCTGGGTCTGCAGGAAAAATCCTGGCTGACATCAGGATGTACAGCACAGAGGGGGTAGCTGCTTGGCCTTGTTGGTGAGGTGGGAAGAACACGCAATCGTACAACATGAACACATTTTCTGGATTTTGTTTCTCTAGGCCAAGGTCTGAAACATTTCTGAGGGTTAAGGGCTGCCTCTGGCTTTTGAGCAGAATTACAGGGTTGCACATACTTCAGAAAGTTAGGAGTGATTCAGAACTGAACTGCTGTTAAAATTAATGAACATTTAAGCATTTTTATGAAAACCCGTACTGATTTTTCTCTTCTATAACTTTCAAAAGTTACAACCGGGTGAGAACTTTTTCAGGCTTCTTCCAACTACAGTTTTGGGAGGAAGAAAAGGTTCTCAATTATATGCTTGAGCACTAGGACAATTATATACTTGTTTCTATTTTATAAGCCACAGTGCTAGCTTTTTAAAGAGGTCCTTCCATGAGGAAGTTAAATAACTCAAGATGACAGCAAGGTTTTAATTGCATCAAGACTACATCAACTTTTTTGACCCTATCCTCCTGGACCCCTCTGTTAACAATACTCCTAGTTAATAAAAAAGTGTAATGGAGCCCTAGTGGATACCCTTGATTTCAAAGCAGAATGCATTATGATACTTTCCCTTTTATATTTTAAAATATGGCTGTTATGGCAGTGTGGCCTTCCTTTTAACAAAATGACTAGCAACAGCACCTATCACAAATCAGAAACACACATTTAATTGAAACATGTATGTTTTCCATATGAGTAAGAGGTATTAGTGACAAAATACGTCACATTGCAAATACTGTTTCTTTCATGCTTCCAAGTGAAGCTACAATGCAAATATTAAATAATAAAAAATAGTTAGGGATGATCTCTGGTACTTTTGTCTTATCCCTGGCTTCAGTCATTCATCAATTATTTTCTAAGGACACCTGTAAGACCTATGTGGAATGATATATATTGTTATACTGATAAAGAATCCACCTGAGAACATTGTCTGTTTTACAATAAAACTCTCAGCCTAACCCACCTCACAGGGTTGTTGTAGGAAAAAGAGGAGGAGGAAGGAGCATTAAAAGTAGATTTGCTGCCTTGATTTATTTATAAAAATAGCAGAGGCACAATAAAAATAAGTGTTTTTTTTTAAAAAAAAAACTTTCCTGAAAGAATTAAAATGATCTCCCAATATATAACTAACATTTTATTTTATAGTCTATCTTCCAATATGGCATAAGCCTTTAAAAAAACCCAAGGAAATATACAAATCACACGAGACAAAATTATGTACATTAAATGTACAGAACGAAGAGGAGAACATAGTAGATTTACATAGTATCTGAAGAATAAAGTGAAGTATTTTACATTAAATAGCATTTTTAATAGCTAGGATCATTTGACGTCTCTGCTCATAGGCAGAAGTCATGATAAAGGATAAGTGTTCAACATAATTTTAAAATGTGGTTTTTGTATAATAAAAACCAAAAGTGACGTATTCAAGGAACTAGTGCTTTATTTATTTATGAAAGTTATTGTTGCCATTGGTTTGCAAATACTAGGAACCATGGAAGTAAATATTTCCTTGCACAATAAATTAAGAGCAATCATCATTGTAAAAGCTGATAATCATGATGGCATTAATGAGAAAGCTCACAGCCTGTGAGAAATGAAACTTCTGGTATGTTAATGAAAGGTGGAAGTCTGGCATTAATTCCAATCTGCTTATATTTATTGGGGTGGGTGAATTTGGGTGAGGTCTTGGAAGCTGAAGAATGCATTAAATTTGTGTCAAGGGAAAAAAGATTCTCTTCTTACATGAAAACTGGCATGTTATCCCTGTACAAGGGGCCATGCTAATTTTCTCTGTATTGTTCCAATTCTACTAAATGTCTTGCCAAAACATGCTTCAACAGCACATGTACTAAAATTGAAACAATACAGAGATTTACTATGGCTTCTGCGTCTGTATAATATGCTAGTTTAACCACAGAATTTATTTATTTATAAAAAAGGAGAAGGTATAATTTGTCTAAGAAAACTTGTTTCCATTACTAGCAACAATGAACTTGCAATAAATCTGTTTCAACTCATCCCAGCTAAGTGTTGGGACATTAAGGACAGCATAGTGTCGGACATTAGGTGGAGAACCAGGTTGAGCCAGGCTGTTCTAAACCGTACATTAAACTTTCTGGAATTCTGCGCTCAAGTGCACAACCAACAATTCAGATCATGCCAAATCTTTCACTAAACCAAGTTGAAAAATCCAATACTTTCTGAAAGGAAAAAGAGAGAGTTAAATTGTGACTGACTTGCCCTTCAACAATTTTCAAACCCTAGAAAAAGGGAGGCCAGCGTCCAACCCAAATAAAGCCCCTTAAGTGAATTGACAGTGTTTTTAAAAATGGGGGAGGATAATAATATGCTTAGTCTAAACAAAGAAACTGTCTGGTAATTTGAACAGACTTTATGTTCTTTTTTTCTTAAAGAAATCATTGGTTTGTAGTTTGTACTGACAACATATATGCATGAGAAAAGGTTTGAGATACTAGATACCAACAGACCAGAGTTTTCCCATATACAAGTAACTGCTCAAATATAGTCTGAGCAGTTTGTGCATAGCCACAATATATTTTTAAAGCATTGTGCATTAAAACAAAACAAAAAAAAAGTAGCACAGATGATGAAGGTACTGCTTGCCACACTGTCCATTTTTAAATTATCAAGCTGCTCTACAGGACAGCCAAGAGTTCTCAATTCCACAATGCTATCAGCCAACTTCCATTTCTGAAAAGAAACAAACTACTATCCATAACACTTTAAAAATAAAGAATCTTGTTTTTGTAATGCACAATAGATTCAGTTTCCAGCATTATTTAGCACACACACTTCAAGAAATCCTGAAGTTAACTCATTAATATTCTTTTAAACTAAGGCAGAAGGCTGTCTAAACATGGATGAGACGTGCTTATTTCACTGCAATTTGCAGTATTCCAAATATTGCTTTGATCTACAATGAGTCACGTTTTCTTCCTCTTGATTTTGTTTATAATTTTTAAGAAATGGTATTTGCTAATTCAAATCCTATGTCTTCTGAGAAATGCATTATGTGAATGATGGTGAAAGAAGTGCATGTTTCCTTCCTAGCATCTTTACACGCCATGTCCTCACTCAGTGCATGTTCATATGTAGGCCAAGCATAAATGAAAAAACTCAAATTAATTTAATTACCTAGCACCACAATAGTAGTTTAGGGACCTTATGCTTTTACCCATCCCTGCAGGGGGTCATGCAAATACGTTTGAAGAATGTTGTGCTAAAATTTTATAGATCAACTAATCATTACCATTAAAACATTTTTATTTTTATTATTTTTTGGTCACTAAAGTTATGAACAAAAGCCATGTCCAGATTTTTTTATATTACCAAGTCCAGCCATGCTCTGATCTAAAGCATGTGACACAAATACCTCATCTACTGCATTTATACCATGTTTCTTGTGACTGTTTTGGGATAGAATGGATATCCTTTTAAGCTATCCTATTTTCATTGCTATTGTTAAATCTTAATCCCAAATATGCAAATAAATATTCTGTCCATTCCTTCCCCCCCTCCCAATTATTGCAAAAAATATAAAACTATGCACAATCAGAGCTGGATGTAACAAGATTTCCCCATCATTTCTCTTTGCAAAAGATTTAACATATAAACAAGGAAAGCAACCCATTGGGCACTATAAATAAGAACTGAGATCATTTAGGGCAATTCCCCTGCTGGTGGACTGGAAGAGGTTCTCTCACCCAACCCACTTATTTGCAGACAAATTGGTCCACAATCTCTGTGCATTTCTTGCATTTCACGTAGCAGCACCAATGGAACTTGCAATGGCAGCGTTCTGTCTGCACAGTCTTGAACTGGTCATAACCTCGGCCACAGCACATAAGTTCACAGCCATCCATGCCTTCTGAAGTCTTATTGCAGAGTCGACCCTGGGTGCCCAGAGACCCAGTGCTCTCGTTGCGCACGCAGTAATCAGGACTAGGGTCAATGTACACCAGGTCATAAATAGTCGGTGCATTGAAGCGGCTGTTCACCTGAACCAGTTTGCCACGGAGATTGAGTTTCATAGCGGCAGCACTGTCGTATTTTTCCTTCAAAGCATCGCCCACCTTGCGAAAGTCAGCCAACTGCAGCCAACAGGTCTTTAAGCTGCATGATCCGGACACACCGTGACATTTGCAGGCTACGTCTGCCAAGCTATACACTGTCTGTAGGAATCAGAAGAAGAAAAGTGAGTCCTATTGTCACAAAATATAAACAGGTGTAAAATAAACAAAACAACTACTTTTATATGCATTGGGGAAAGAACTGCAAATGATAGCATCTCTTCACCTGGCACCAGTCTATTCTACCTTCCAGAATGCCCACCTGCTTTGAAATCTCCTGTTAAACTACTGCTAAGTAACAATTTTTTAAAATTATTTATTCAATTTCTGAAGCAGCCCATCTCAAACAAATGACTCTGGGCAGCTTACAATTCTAAAACTGTAAAACAGTTAAAACCATTTAAATCAATAAAAGTTAAAACATACAGAAAACACTTATTTGGAAAGCTGATTAAAATTTCATTCACCTTGTTTCATTGGGGTTTTTTACAAAAACTCCCTCAGTCTTAACTGTTGGTTGTCACATCATACCCAATATAATAAGAGTTTTTGACAGGCTTGTCTGACAATATATTTTATCTGCTTATTTATTTATAGGCCCACTTATCACTTTTGTATAAAAATAATGGAGGGAAAAGATACAGAAAATATAAAAGTCCAAGTTACTATGACCTGAACCTCCATAGTCAGTCAGAAACCTTCACAGCATTATTAGAAAGTTACTTTAAACAGCAATTTTGACAGTAAAATATTAAAAATCAGGCTACAAATTGCTGATTTATAGTGACAATACTGCCCTATCAGCACTGATACAGAAATCCAATTAATTTTGCTATCTTCCCAACGTTTTATGGCATGATACTGCCACCTCACAAATTTCACTAAAAATGAATCCATGAAAAAACAATTGTCTGCAGCAATTGTCTACAGTTTGTGTTGTTCAGTTGCTAAGTTGTGTCCAATACTTTGCGACCTCATGGACCATAGTATGGCAGCCCGCCTCCATCCTCCACTGTCTCTGAGCCTGCCCAAGCTCATGTTCATTGCATTGATGACACTATCTAACCATTTCATTATCTGCTGTTCCCCTTCTCCTTTTGCTTTCAATCTTTCCCAACATTAGGATCTTTTCCAATAAGCCCTTCTTCTCACTTGGTGGCCAAAGAATATATATAGTAGTTCATTGCATGATGTTTCTCCTATCTCTGGAGGTTTTTCTTCTTCGCCTTTTTGATTAACATTGAAAACATGGAAATCACTCGCTCACAAATTTTGCATGCAAACTGGAACTTCTTTTAATATGTAAATGGTCTCAGAAAGCAACAACACTGGAATAAATTATCATGGTTATCTGTTTATGTCATCTCCAACTTGTCTGAGAATGGTTCACCATATGCTGATGGTCAGGATTAAAGAATACCCCATCCTATGCTACAAAATTATACTAAACTGGCAGGATCATAAAGTATGAGAAAGTGCTAGCAAAGTTGTTTGGCCCACTTACACCTGTGGGTATTAATGAGCTTAAGACACCATGGAAAACTCGTGTTTGTTCAAGGATATTACTTAAGATTAAAGATTGTTTTATACTTCCTTGGCATGCTGGATGGGACAGGGGAAAAAAAAAAGGATGCCAGGCATTATTAGATGCCCTAGAAAAGGAATGGGACAAACTTCTGATCGATCTTGAGATATGCAATCTGATCACTTTTCCAATCAATACCCTTCCGTGGCTGCTGAATAGCCACAAATTTCTTAGAATTACACAAATTATGCCAGTCTAAAGTCTCATATGCTCATACCTGGTCCAAGCACAGACCTTCATTTCCAGTACAATTAATATATCAGTTTTATCTCAGTTCTCCTACATAACTGTATGCATGAAGCAGTTTTCTGGATATTCAGATTTTTTTTCAATAGGTTAACCTAGATAAATAGCTTTCTCTCTTTCAACAATGGCTGTCCAGCTGTTAAATCCTTAGAATTCCATCTTATTTTATTTGAACCAGAGATAGTAGCTTAGCCATCTAATATTGGCTGATTCCAAAAAAGTTGATAAGAATGAGACCTAGTTTTGATGAGAGACTACCCAAAAATTCCAAGGCTGTTAACCAGAAGAAGGCAATGGCAAACTTATTTCCATCTATATAGTCCAACAGGAATTGATCTTGATCTGAGGGCATCTTTGCCTTTATTTTATTATTATTGGAAACCATTTCAAAAACCAGTACAATAGGCAACAACGTGAAGAGTGAAAGGATGTGTCTGAGCAATTACGTTTCCGGTGCACAGATTTTGTTTTTCTTCTCTTTTCCACTTCCTGATTTGCAGCAACCAAACAATGCAGCAATAACAGAAAATGAACAGGATCAGAGGCCACTTATCCATGGCTGATAAATGGGTCGTCATCCTCAAGAGAGCACAAGCACAAGCTCACTCCTTGCATAAACACTAACTGGTGTCACCTATCTGCACCACTGCCTCCTGGTTCACCAAGATGACAAGGTATCCAGTCCCTCCCTTCTCTTATTCTGTTTGAAGTTGCTTGGTGCTGCTCAGCAATCTGCAGATTTGTGATGTCAATTCTCCCAATAACAAAAAGAAAGAACAGTAGAAAGAAGGTAATCAACTTTGGCAGGTAACATTTCAAGAAGGAAAACTGGAAATAATTGAACCTATGAAAATCCAGATTTCTAGCAAAAATAAAACTTACAAGTTGGTTTTACCTACCACCTTTAGACTGGGGAAAAAAAATCCATGATACTTGACCAATCAGTTGACTGGCTCATTGATAGTAGAATTGCATCAGATTTTTCTTTTCAACCCCCCCATTTTCATACTGGAAAGATGTGCTGCTCCTAGAGCAGATTTTCCATTCCAGTTTAGCATCTCCCTCCCACACTAGTCTCCATGCACAGCCAAGTGACTCCATCCAAAAGAGAAAACCCCAGAACACCTCTGGGTGGGGGACAAGCCGACACCGCAATATCCTCTTTGTAAAGTCTTGGCAAGGAGACCTTGATAATTTACCCTGTATAAATAGACATGAGTCAGTGTTGACACAGCCCCAAAAATCCTGGGGTCTGACACATTAGGTAGATGCTGAATGCCATTTCCACCCAGCATTAAAAAGGGGGGAGTTCAAACCCTGCCAAATGGCAAGGCAGGAAGGCGGCTCAAAAGGGGTGGTAGCAGGGAACCACTCAAAGCCGACACAGGCAACTGTGAAAAGTCATTTTTCTTCTTTCTAGCAACAAGTTGGCCTTCCCAAGGCTTTCAGATGCCTTCTTGTCACATTTAAATGTTATTAATTTTCAATTATCCTTCATCTTAATTCACCTTGAAACACAAGTGTAAAGTCTATAGCCGACTTCTCCTGGCACCGTCAGTTGTAGGAAAAATAATGATTTTGGCTCTTTCCACTTCAGGGCAATAAAATGAAGTTTACGCTCATTCGTTTAAAAGATTTTGAAGATTAAAAAAGCCATAAAAACCAACTTCCACCACAGAAAAGCTTTTTCTCTAATAATACAGAGAGGGTGGCACTTTTTTTTTCACAGCCTTATAAGGAAGACTCAAAATAGCCCCACACAAGAACATTTCGCTCTAGTAAATATGCTTCTTCTTTCATCCCTTCCAAAGAAAACTGGATGGGTAGGAAATATAAGCTAATAAAACTCTATTCTGCAGAAAATTTACTGTGACTTGCACAATTTTACCAGAAGAATCTGGGCGGGGAAAAAGTGTAATTTCAGCCCCATGCACAGGAAGGAAATCAAGCATTAGCTGTTTCAGTGCCACTCAGATTGTAAACTTTTTATTATTATTATTATTTAAAATAGGCCATTTGTATTTATCTAAATTGAGGTATCCTGTCTAGTCTACCTCTAGTAGTAGTGGTATTAATAAAGATTATAATAATCATTTCTGCACTTATTCATCAAGTCTGTTCAAGAAAACAAATTCAAAAACAAGACAGCTTATGGGGGAAAAAAACAAACGTGTGAATGAATTAATGAAAAGTCAGCCTTTCTTAAATTACACAGCAGCGTAAACCTTTACAATATCAGTTAAGAACAAATAGATGAAAAGAATCCCTTTTTTGAGCTACTTACTCTTCTTCCTGCTTCATTGTTATGTATGTTCATCAAAATTCTAGCGCTCTCATAAGATCCTTTCTGATAGATCCGCTCTCGCTCACGGGCATCCACAAACTCCTTTGCAAAACGGTAGCCATAATCAATGTTGTCTCCACAGCCCCCCCACAGCCAGTCCCGAGGTAGATCTTTTGGCCGGGCAGCCCTGCTGCAGCCACAGGAAGAGAGCTCTCCCTCTCGGCAGGCCCGGCTCATGGCATTCACCACACCAGCAGCACTGACAGCATAGGTAAAAGCAGTTTCCCGGCTGCCTACAAAAGAAGAAAGGAGAAAGAGAAGCTGCTCAGCATTGGAGACTGGAGTGCATGTATTTATTTGTCAAAGAAGATATATTACTTTTACAATGGAAGAACTTTGCCCAACGGATTAATGTACTTTTGAAAAATAGGGTATATCAAGTGAACGTTAAGTATAATATTTGACCAAACTTGTTGGTATTGGATGAAGTTCCTATTTAAAAAAAAAAAAAACTATGGGAAAATCCTCTTGACTTGTTCCAAAATTCACCCTTTTGGGGTATCTGAGAAACTAACAACAAGTTTATACTGGAAAAGAAAGTTCTGATCTAATGATAAGGTTCATGAACTGATCAAGAAATAATTGACGTGTTTTCTAGATATATACTCTATATAAAATATCCTGCGTGAAAAATGTAAAAAGCGTTTTAAGAGATGCTTTCACGGTAAGTAAGAGATCCAGGATACCAAAATGGGCTAGTTATTTGAATAACCTGAAGGAAAATTCATTAGTTAACAGGTTACACAAATCCATCAACAAATTAATAAAATTGGCTAGTCCCATGCTGATTTCTTTCAATTTTAGCCATATTGGGCAAGTGTCTATAGCTTTTTAAAATTGTAACTAAGGGGGCTGTCACAAAACATAGCCTTATGCAATGATTTGAATGTCAATCCTTTACAATGCTGTGTCCTAAGTTCTAAAATCCTCTCATTCCAGGTTTTTCCAAATAAAAAACATATTAATTTGTTTAAAAATATATAGCTACATTTTTAAAAGCCAAAGGATTGTATTTAAAACAAAGGTTTTAGAATTATATTATCTCAAGAAGTTTGCTGTCAGTTTTGTGCCAGTCAGGAATTTATTCCAAATTAATTTTTGTAGTATGCTTAATCTGATTTATTCTAATACAACTATATGAATAATGGAGAAGCCCTATGACTTTTACACTAGTATGGTTCAGATTAAATTCATAAACACTTTACTTCCTTTTGCATACATATGGCAATTATATATATTTTAGTAGCATTTAGGTTTTATGTTTTCCCCCAAAAGTATATTTTAAGAGAAAATTTTTGACTATGGCATGGGGAAAAAAAAGGCAGAGATGGTATACTTTTAAGAAAAACAACAGATGGAATAAATTTATTTGTGGCATGTTTAAGACAAATATCATCAACTTTGACAATATTAGAAGTCTCTCTGCCAGCAAGAGAGTGTTGGTTTGTTTGGAAGTTCTCTATCCTGTGCTAAGCATAAACATGATACCTTTACATCAGGAAAAGATGACATGTTAATCTTTGTCCATTTCAAACAAGAAAAATTCTTTCCTCCATATACATAATTTTGAAAGAAAGACTTCAGAACAAGTAAGAGCATTTGCTTATATGGCTCAAAAGTTAGTTTAAAATGTAATCTTACTCAGAGTTTAGTTTTTTAAAGACAACTGATTTAGTGGTTTCCATGATTTAAGTGAATACCAAGTACAGGACTTTTTTTTTTAATCATATACTTTTATTCAAGTATATGGTAGGATAACTAAGCAATATTGATTTCGACAAGCATTCTCGGCTCCCAACCCAAAGACCGCTTTTCAACTTTTGGAGATCAAGTCATAGACAAAATTTTCAGAAAATGTTTGGTTTGTTATCATCTACTGTTCATCTAGCCAGAGAGAAAGTACCCAAATATTACACAGCCAACTTTCCAGGATTGTTCAGAAAACAAAGAAATACTTGTGCCAGCAGTAATGTATGCTGATTCATATCTCACTGCATTTAATGCCAAAGCTTGTGCTATTTCACAAATAAAAATCATAACTGTAAGAGATATTCTACCTTGAGAGTCAGCTCTTAAAGCGACAACACCAATATACTTCATTGATATCTGATTTGTTCCTTTCAGCAATGAAGATGTAAATCTAATCATTAGACTTTTACTCTTTACTTAAATTTAGATGAAGAAATTGTACAACCTTGCAATACACTACACAAAATATTTCATGTATTCTTTCAAGTCAAATCAGCTAAGAATTTCTCACAAAAATTCTGAGAAACACAAAGAAAAACAGCCAATAGACTCTATCCTTTGTAACAATTACACTGTTGTAGCTGGATTTATAGTAAGGTAGAAAAGTGTTTAAGCAAGAAACAGGTGTCTGGGTAAAGAGAAACAACCACCTATTTTATAATTCACTTAAAGTAGGCTGAAATATGAAATGACAATTTCTCACTGCTTTGGAGAAATTTCTCACACTACTTGTTCTCACTAGTATTTTCATGATCTGAAAAGTTGGATGCGCACATCCTGACTTGTAATTAACTTAAACAGGTTATTGCCATTTTAAATCAAATGAAATAAATGCAGATATATTATGAGCAGGAATCGAAGGCCTGAAACTAAAATGGGAAGTAGTTCTAGCACTGATAGTTGCAAACTTTGTATAAAGAGGTTGTGTTAACTCAGATATTATAAAACCAATCTTCAAGTCCTAGACACATACATCTATGCTAATATCTAAAATAGTTTCAGGCTTTTAGCACTCCATATCTATGGAACACATACCATACTAACAATTAAAAAATTTATTCAAAGCCTCCCTCAACAGCAATTATAATGCAAAGCTGCAGAACATTTAAGTCTTCAAAAGGCAAGTGTTTCCACTTACTTCATTAAAAAGGGCACGGAAAATGTTTGAGATTTTGTAAAGGTTATTTTACATAAAATTAACTTTTAGAGTAAATGTGACTTAACAGCATCCCTTCAAGCAAAGCAGAAGCCTACTCAATTCTTAAATGAAGTTATTTTTAATCTAATTTTAAAGTCATTCCAATCCTTTCCTATCCTGTTTCAAAAAGAGGAATGTAAAATTAGATTTAGATCTCACTATTCTGAAATGATATTATACACAAGCTGTGAGTTAAATTGGGGGAAGGGCTAGACCGGAGGTTCAGACTTAGATATTCAGATGTCATTTCTGCAAGCGGATAAGGGGAGAAAACAGCAATCCACCAGTCAACCAAAGTACCTATAATAATGCTGTGAGCTGAGCCCATCAAATTCAGTGGGGTTATCAGAGATAAGACCTCTGTAAAGCATAAAATGGAATTCTGCTCGTGTAAGCTTGTCAGCAAAAAAAATATATCAAAAATAAATTGACAAAAGATATATTCCTACTAGAGAGATCTTTTATGAAGAATAGCAATTACTTAAGTATATGTATCATCTATGTATCTATGGGTGCATATGCACGCACAGACACACACTTGGCCTTATTCAAAGTATTCTGTCTGCAAACACCAACATAATTCACATCATAGCCTTAAATTTCTTTAATGAGAATTAGCTTGTTTTCAGAAAGCTATAATCCTGAACTTGCTTTTCCTGTTGAAATCTCATTACATTTTCCTTTAAACGTAATGAGATTTCAATATTGGTATATATACAAGCTTGGGCTGAGAAATTATGTATTAAAATAACAGTCCAGAATAGACTTGATATAATGGTATGAAAAATTAAGGTGATTAATCTAAAGACAAAATTCAACTGTTAACATGGTTTTGCTATGAAAATGATCCTAGGCCAGCCAAATCTGCTTCCAATCTCCTGTCCTAAAAACAGATTTGGGGGATGGGACGAGAACTTCAGTATTATTCTTCTCTTTTCTATATAACCGTCAGTCTCACAATGGCTGCTTGCTCACCAAAAGGATTCTGGTTTTTTGCCAAAGGCATTTTAACATTTCCATTCTTGATTATCTTCAGTGGCACATAAAGGACCTGGCAAAGTTTTCTAGCACATAACATACAAAAATACTTCATGTAGACTCTAAAGTACTTCCTACCTATCTGCATGACTCTGCCAAAGACAGAGTTATTATCCACAGTGCTACAATTCCATCTTCTGTGGCGGAACTGATACTGGCATTCTTTGATCCCTGTCTTTGCGCCCTCTCCAATGTATTGCATGTGATCCTGGTACAAATGGCAGAGTTTCTTTTGTCCTTGAGACAGCCCTGCCAATTGGCTACAGAGAGGTTGGGCTCCAATTATATACACCTCTGGCATCTGGACAGGGTTCATAGGATTCATATGGTTCATACCTAGAGACCTGTAAAAGGAGAATAGTTATATTAATAAGAGACAGTTCAAATACAGAAACTGAATGCACATGCAGGCATGGGCCCCAGTCCTATAGCAGATTTACTTGGAAGTAAGATTCAGTGATGTTCTAGGCATAGTGGCCAAAGTGGGAAGAAAGACTTATTGAATATTTGAAATAATAAAGTAAAACCATCTGCATAAAGTTAGGAAGACAAAAATCAAGTTATGCATTTATCTAAATACATTTGCCCCCTTAGCTTTAAATTATTGCGCTCTCCCTACATTTTTGAGAATTAAACACACACAAACACACTCTGAAAATATTTAAATCCTAACCTACCACATACTTTTTTAAAAAAAAAACCTGTAATATCAGCATATTACTATCTAAAACATATTGAACATCAATAAAATTAACAAGTTAAATAACACAAAATATAGTTTGTATGTAAACTATATGAACTATGTGAACATATATCTGAACTAGACAATTTCTAGAGGCATCATGAAATAAATGCCTTAATTTAACAACCACAACTAACAACTTCAACCAAATATTTTTTCTAACTCAAATGTGTGTTTTAATGATAAATGTCTGTTAATCAGACAGCAGACCTGTTTCCAGAAATTAAATTCCATTAAGATCAATAGGGCTTACCCCTATATGTATACAGAATCTATAGCCTTATATTCTTTCAGAGAAAAAAATAACAGAAAGTTACTAAATCCATTATTTTAAAGTAGCTCCCAGGATTCACTTTTGTGTATGTGTGCTTATGTTGCAAGCTCAATACGCTCATTTCAACTTCACATTTTATTTAGTTTCTACTATTACAGTTGGTTCCATAGAGAATTCAAATTATTACATATATGTGGCAGAGAGTTCACTAAAGGAACAGAATGAAACAAGTGGTTAGGGATTCATAAATCAAGTAATTACATTTTCCAGGAACTATCTGGGCCTTCCTTCTTCATATTATCTGGAAACCGGAGACAGACAGACCTGTATTGTGTGTGGGTGATTAGAAAGTGATAAAAATAGAATTAAAAAGCTTACCACCAAGAGCTGGCTTCTATCATGATTTGGAGAAGCGAAGAGAAGATGGTCAGACCCAACAAAAGGTACTTGGAAGTCATTGCCCCTGTCCACAAAGTTCCACTTTGCATTATTGCTCCCATGGACTTCTGTAGGGGAGGGAAGAGGAAAGAGACTGATTTGACTGTTATTGCGTGGCTCAGACCATTTCAAAAGTGAACAAAGTCCAGCCTGAAGGGGGGGCGATTTCTGCAAAGCGGCAGCGGCCCTTTTCCCCAATGAGTTCTTACAGTGCAATGGCAAAGCCACTGCCTGCTGCTCCAAGTGCATTCATCCGCCCAACTGCCCCACTGTTGGATCTCAGTGTTTGACTAACTCTCAAAGCAGCCCAGATACGGAAGGGAAGCTGACCGGTACCCAGCCCACGGTCCTCCCTCTCTTCCTCCTCCTCCTTCTCCTCCCAGACTGCAGTAGACAAGACCTTGGCTTTGGGGCAAAAACCAGCCCTGGCGCAGCGAGCTGGGTGCTGCTGGGTTCCACGGCTGGCCACCCTGTCAGGAGAAGCAGGTGGACTGAGACAGGAAAGAGATTAAGCAGTGAACACACACACACACACACACACCACAGGGTTTTTGAGCACCAATCGATCAAAGAACCCCAGAAAGGGAAGGGGGGGGCAAGCAAAGGCCTATCATTTTGGAGAAGAATCTCTTCAAGTGAATCCTGGAGAGATGAGGTAGATATTTGGGCTCAAGGCTTGTGACAAGCCTTCTCAATGGAAGGAGAGGAGCTCTCCCCATTTCTGCATCACCGGCGAGAACCAGAGACAATTTAATAAACCTCCGACGGCCTAAACCCAAAGCAATTAGCGTCCCTTTCCCCACTTAAAGGAGTGTCACGAATGCTTCTATCCAGATTTTCGTGATTCATTCGCGGCTAGAAGGGACTTTCTTTCGTTTTCATGGTTGGCCTTGGAGAACCTTAAATCATTTACACCGTAGCAATTACAGCGAGCCCGGATTTGAGAACCGGACAGTTTCAGAGCCGCTCCCCCGATGAAGCAGAAAGCTCCCGGAACCACCACAGACCGCCAGCGGAGGGCGGGTCTGCCTTTCACGCGCAACCCCGGGCTTCCCCCGCGCGCAAACGCCGCGAATTAATCGGAGGGCGCCGAGCAAGCAACTTTCGAGCTGCGCGCTCGCTCGCCGCCTAGGCATGGCTGGGTTGGGAAGGTTCATTCCGCGAGGAGAGGAGTAACCTAGGAGGAAGTCCAGAGGGTTTCAGGCATAGCAGGCGGTTTGAAGACGGAAAAAGATAGCCCTGCGACGGGCATTTCCATTTCCAAGTTTTAAAAAGAGAAAGCAGCACAATCCAGTGTTGCTTTCTCTACACTCCCGTGCCGACGGACATTGATGTTTCAACCTGGTCGGTATGGTTGCGGTATTACTGTCCTGACCAAAACACAATTCCACTCACCACTCAATATTAACCGCGTCTACTCGGAAGCCCATTCTGCAGATTTCCAATGGGATTACTCCCCCCCCCCCCAAAAAAAAACCCAGGTCTGCCCTTAACTACCCCCCAAGAGATGGGGGTGATACAGCTGAAAGTACAGGGTGCTCCGGCAAGGAAGAAGGCGGGATCGCGCTTGCCGCGTCTGCCACTGCAAATCGCCCTCCAGGTTTGACTTGCAAAAAAACTCTCGGGGAAGTTTGGTTTATTTCCCTGGGAACCCCCCCGCCCCCGGCTCGTATTGCTCGGCTGGCCCTTCTACGCAGGGATTCTCCTCGGCCTCGTGCTGGGTAAAAAGGAAAATGGCTTTCCAGGCGAGCGGGCCAGAACGGCTCCTTCAAGCTTCAAGAAGCGGGGAAATGGAGCTGGCTCGCGAGTCACATTTTAACATGCTTGAACTCTCGCCGACGGGAGACTTGGCACCGGGAATGCTCCCGAAGGACTTAATCTGGCCTTTTCCGAGCCCCTTCCAGCTTGCCCTCGCGCCGCTTTGTTTTGGGTCAATCCCGCGTAAAACAAGGCGCGGTCGCGCCCAGTTAAGCGGTCTCCCCAAATGCAACGTGACAGAAGGCTGTAAGAATTTGGGGGAACCGGCCGGAGAGGCTGCGCGTCTAATGACGGGCACCCGATTTATTCCTCCATCAGACTGAAGCGCAGAGTTCACGCCCCATAAAGCCGTCCACGCTCAGCAAAAGAAGGGGGGGAAATGGGGCCAGGGAGACCGCGAAAGCCACTCCAGCCGCCCCTCGTCGAAGGCGAACAGCGTACGGACAAAGCGGAAGATGGAGAGGAAGGAAGGAAGGCTCCCTTAGCCATTGCCCATCGGGGCGATTCAATCGCTTCCCCTACCTCCGATCTAAGCTTCCCGTGTGGCCTTGGGCCCGTTCCCTCCGTCTCGGGGGACCTTTCGCTGTGGCACATCCATGCAGCTCGCAGCTCAGGATTTCAGGCCGCAGTTTCAGCTTGCCGCTCGAGAGCAGTGGGCTTTGCAAGGTGCAATTCGATGATGCTAATCCAAGAATAAACCACTCGCGAGAAAGTTGAATCTGAGGGTCACAGAGGTCAGGATCTAGGGCGGGACGTTTTCCGAGGCTTTCTTACTAAAGCTGGGAGAATGGGGAGGGTCAAACAAGGGCTTTTTGGAAAAGGTAAAACGCCAAAGGAGAAAATCCCAGAGCACGGATGGTCCAGTGGAGCTGCTTTTCCTGATGCAAACTCTCAATTGTACTATTTTGCTGACAACCGGGGGAAACCTTATAACGATATCCTGAATCCTGTCGCTGAATGCTCGGAATATGCTTCATGCAAACTCCGCTAGGAGAATCCGAAGTTTTATTGCATTTTATATACAAAGCCCCTTTTCTGCTCAAAAATAAGCAGAAGGGACGAAGGGATTCCACAGGCTGAAGAGACAGGAGGAGCTTTAAATACTTTATGCATAGAAGTCAGTCGCCTGGCTAAAACTCCGTCGGGTTGCTCTAAGGAGGCATTCTCCTCCTTCCCCGATAGAGGGCAGTCGCAACCGCGAAACGTTAGGTCCAGCCGAAAGCCGGCGGATCTGGAGTTGTCGCCTTCCTCTCGGCTTTTGGTGGCATTCATTACTTTTGAGTTTATTCAGTGCACCCTAGCGCAGAGCAGAAACGACTTCGGAGGCGAAACCCCTCCCCATTCCGTATGGGGCACCCAAGAAAAACGCACCGCGCTCAAGCAGATCCCTCCACTCATTCGGGACGGAACCGTTTTCTGTATCTGCAGAAGGTCCGTATCAAAGACGCTTCTTGCAGCCGCTCGTTTTTGGGGCACTGACGAAGATGAACTTTTTAATACATTTCCCCCTCTCTGCAACGGAGCGCGGGCTTCTCCGCTTGCGACGTCGTTTTGTTGTTGTTTTTTTTAAAAAATGCAAGGGGTCTGGAAAGTCTGTTTGTACATCTGGTTTTATGGCCGCTATTTTAAAGCTCAGTTCTACTGGGGTTAAGTAGGTATACAGACTGCGAGCCCTTTCTAATCTGATGGGTTGCAAAACGCAGCCACAATTGCTGCAAGGGGCCGGGCTCGGATTTTAGGAGCCGATACCTGCCAACCCACCAATTGTCCCGCAGGTTCGGTGGGGATATAAAAGGGGCAAAGCGTCCCGAAGTTTGATTGCAGAAGCTTCCAGGTTTTCAACAAAGGGAACAAGTCAAGGGCTGCAAACCAGGCGGTGGGCTAAAGCGACTTGTTTCGGCTCACCCCACGATTAACCCAAATGCAAGAAAATCGCTGGACTTTCTGTCGGTTTATGCAATTTGACTACCCCACCCGCCGAGAGAAAAGCTGAACTTTCCTGGCTGAAGCTGAACTTTCACTGACCCCACGACTGTAACTAATTTAGCATACAATTGACAATTAAAAACAAACACACACTACTTTTTGAACACGGAACATTTGGAGCATCAAAGGCCCTGGGGGAGCGAGCGGAGACAAAACCCTTCCATCCTCCCTCGCGAGTAAAAGCGGGACCTTTTACAGATGCAAAGTGACAACATACAGAACCCGAGAACAAAAACTGAGGGCTCGAGATGGAGGAGGAGAAAGTAGTCCAGGGATTTTTTTTTTTCCCCACTGGCCACCAGCCAAAACCCCTTAAAGGTACAGGCCTTTCCAAGGCTGCCATTACTCCCGTTTCTTCAATCCCCATGAGTTAAAAGTGGCAGTTAAAGTTGTCCTTTTAAAACCCACTGGATAGGCGAGGTAAAGCATGTGGATTTAGGGAGGAATTAAAACAGCTTTCCGAGGAAATCGATCACTCACTCCAAAAGCAAAGGACGACTAAGCAGAAATCCTTTGGAACAACAGGTTTCTGAGAAAACTAGGAGTTTCGATGGCGTGCCCTAATGCATAACCGGAATTTAATATTATGAGACCAATAGAGGAAAATATGGTTTACCCTTTCTCATCAGCTCCACAATAAACTTAATATTGTGGGGAGGGGGGTGCCAAGTAGCTCTGGCTAAGCTCTTCCAAGAAGGAAAAAAAAAGTTTCGTTTTCGTCTCAGATTTTCCTGACTCAAAACTAGGATGTTTGGGAAGAAACCCCAACTATCGCCCCCCTCCCTCCTCCTCCTCCTCCCCGTATCTCGAGCAAGCGGGTTTCAAGCACACCCACCCTTCTCATTTCCAAGCGCTACTCACCTCCATTGTGGGGAGGAGGGGGAGGGAGGAAGAGACGACGGCCGAGGGGACCAGAAGAGAATCAGGAAACCGTCTAGTTTAGCAGCCAAGTAATCCAATCGAGGAAGCCCCAAACCCAACTTCTCGCAATCTTCTCCGGCGACAAATGACAGGGTTGTTCTGGTCGGGGGGCGGGGAGGGGAGACCCGCTCCAGCGCTGGAGCGAAGAAGCCTCCTTCGCAAGGTCCATCCGCGATCGAACCGAGACAATCGCAGATCAGCCCAGCCAGGTACCGCTGCCACGGCGCCGCCGCCTCCTCCCGCGCGAGGCTCGACGCCTCCCGAACACTCCTGCAGACTTCCTTCCCCGCCGTCTACCTACCCGCTGCCACGGGTGCCCGGCACCGGCAAGCTTTGCCCCAGCGGAGTCCCTCCATTGCGAGAGAGCGAGCGAGAGACGGACAAGGGAAAGGGGCGAACTCCTCCGGCATCAAAGCGCAGGACGGAGGTGGTGGCGGCGGCGGAGGCTACGGCAGCTGCTCCAATCCATGTCCCGCGGTGGCGCAAAAAAAAAAAAAAAACACCACACACACACACACAAAAGTGCCGCTCTCCCTTCCCTCACAGTCCCGACTTCATTCTGCGCCGCGCGGGCACAAGGCAGCTCCTTCTCTTTTCCTCCGCGCTAGTTGCTGGCGCGGCCGACGCGGGCGCGCTTCTGCTCCCCTCGCCTGGCGCGAAGTGCGAGGAAAGTTGCAAAGGCGACGGTGTCTGCAGGGAAAGAACCGGGAGGGGAGGGGAGGGAGGGAGGGAGGGAGGAGGAGGAGGCGACGAAGGAAGAGCTCGCGGAGACGCGCGTGCGCCGTGTGTCAACCTATTGCAACCCAGAGCGAGCTTTTAAGCTGCACCTCAGGCGGCAGCCTCTGGACTCAGCGCCGAGCTGCTGGCTGGGTGGGATAACGCGGCAGCGCCAATGCCAGCCAGCCAGCGGAGAGGGCGGCATTCTTGGAATTTACACCCGCGTGAAAGGACGACGTTAATCTGGAATTGCTCATCGCCCCGACATCTGTTCATTGTTTTCTACGCCCGTAGAGTGGGGGGTGGGGGTGGAGTCGGGTTTGTACTTAGTTAGACTAAGCCTGAGTTCGAATCTTTCGCTCGGCCTTGATGTTCACTTGAGTGCTCTCGGCCAAGTCTGTCTTACACGAACTATTGTTGGGAGAGGAAACTGTCTTGACCTTCCTAAGAAAACAATAGGAATGAAACTCTACACACACACACACACACCCGGCCGGTCAATCTTCAGGTGCCGCACTTTTACTTTCTGTTGTCCTGTCCTGAATAGAGATTACCACGGTTCGGTTACTTTCAGCACAAATTCATTTTAGAGCCGGAAATCACTCTATTCAATTTTAATTCCTCCTATATTTTTTTAAAAAATTAATTTTTGGACAACATCGTTTGATTTAGAACCCGTTTTACCACGTAAATTAGCAGTAGCTGTAACTTGTGGTGTGCACATTTTTTCAGAGGGAGCCTTAGTTTTTAAATTCCAGCTTGCAACGTGGCTATCGGGTTTTGATTTTGGTGAAAGGCAGAAACACGGCTTTCTCTTAAAACGGAGTTTTGCACGAGATACCAATCTTAGGTCAGGGTAGACCAGCTGTGCAGACTAGTCTATTCCTGTGCATGTTTACTCGGGCTGGCAGTGGCTCAATAGGCTTTATTCCCAAATAAAGGAGTGTGCATATGATTTCAACCCTACAGGCAAACTTGGAGTTAGTGTATGGGCTCAGGTCCATGGTTTCATTAATGCCAAAACTCAGCGCTGCAACGCACGGAATTAATAAAACAACCCTCTGCGCATGACCAGAGTGGCTTTATCTCAATATATAACGGTGGCTGTGATCAACACAGAGGCATGACGTTTGCAGTTTAAGTTTAGACTTTAATTCTGTTTCTGCGCATAATCAAATGGACGGGGCTGGCCGGGAGCTTCACGTGGCTATCTCCGATCTAATAATACTGTAGTTGGGATACTAAACTGACGAACGGCTCCAAACAGCCAGCCTGCAAACATTTAAACGTGTGCAAATGAACACCCACTCCCTCATGAGCGGGCAAAAGAAGTGACAAGTATTCCTGCAAGGGGGAATATCTCTGGACAACTCTCAAAGAAAAACGCAAAGCAGGAATGCAAAATTTTCAATAACTCATTCTCCGTATTTAGTCCCCCATACAGTTGCCTGGGGATCAGTAAGTGAGGTTCCGTTAGGTAGCCCGCCCCATTAATAACCCATCAATGTGTCCAAGTTTAAAAACGGCTGCGGAATAATACGATTGCTTTATAATTACTGTCAGGCATAAAAGGTTATTCAAGGCACCTACCCAGATGACGCCTGCTCCATTCTGCCAGAAATGATACTACTCTGTTGCATCGAGAGAAGAAAAACTTTGTAGATAGTTTACGAAGTCTCTCGGGAAACCTGTCAATTTCTCCCGCTTTCAGAACGGTGGTAAATACATCTAACTCCCTACCCAGTCTTTAACTCCATGCAGAGCGCTAAAACATGTATGTGCTGAAGTCCGAGCCTCCGAGATACAAGAAAGTCCAAACCTCCGTAATTTATTTTGTTTATGAGTTCCTAACTAGATGTCTTTTCAGTGAATTGGGATTCCCGGAATCAGCCGAATAATAATGGTAATTATACTATAATCCCAAAACATCTGGAAAAATACTAGATTGGAAATGCATCATAATCCAAACAGCATTCGGAGAACGGCCAATAGCGAGGTTGGACACTTATAGTATTGCAGACATTGCTGGCCAACGATGTTGGGAATGATGGTTTAGCAACATCGGATTGTTCCCTCTACCCATCCTATAGGCTCAGGTCAATAATCAGAAGTTATCACAAGCTACGGGGAGCAGCTGGGTTTTTTATAATAATTTTAAATTAAATAGTTAAAACAATGTCTTTTAACCGCTCATTTAAAAAAAAAAAAGACGTTTAAAGGAGGGAGAGAAAGGAAGCAGGAAAGACATATTAGAACTGGATTAATTTAGCAAATGAGGATATGGGAGAAATCGCTTATTCAAAGCATTACTTAGATACCCATTCATGCTGCTTGCATAGAAAAAAAAATCTTTCGTACGGCGCGAATCCATCAAGGTTAGTTTAGCGGGCTGCGCTCCTAAACACACTTGCGAAAAAGTCAAGTTACAAGTTCCAGCCTTGAACTCCCTGGACCTGCAGAGCCAAAGTGCCGGAGAGCTATTCCCCACCACCGCCACCCGCCTGAGCTGGAGATCCTTTTTTTCCCCGTCTGGAGGTATTATTTCAACTCAAACTTACTTTGATTTCAACGTGCAGTCCCCTCCCCCATCTCTTACTCGATCTTCCTTCTCCTTCGAGTCCAGCGAAAAGGAGTTAGTGGGCCTGCGAAGATCGCTCTTGGCAGAGGCGGCTGATTCAGGACCCGGGCAGTTGTGCGGGGGGGGAGGGAAGTGGGTGGGGGCGAGGAAGGAGATTTTCCTTCCCTTCGGGCAGGGATGCCTGCCGGCTGGCAGTGGCTACTTGCCTGCTCAGACTCAGCGGGCTTCCGATGTCAATTAGGCAGAGTTGTTGACGGAGGATCTGGATGCAGGATCCTTTTGTCCCCCTCGACCTTCAATAAGGCTCTCCCAAAGTCATTGCCAGCTCTTTCTCCCACATGGTGCCAGCAGCTCAGAGGGAGAAGGATCAACAGGCCTTGAGAGCACAATCTGCTTTGAGTCTCTGGGAATCCAACCCATCTGGATCCTGCTCTTCAACCCTGCCAAAACGGGAATTACAGAGAACTGTCTCCTTCCCCAGCCAGATGCTCTTCAAACGGTTGGATCCCAATTCCCATCCTCCCCCAAACTATGGCCGTTCAAGAATTAGGGGATTATTGCCCCCTAATGCGACTGGTTTACTGCAGGTGGGGAAAAGCAGGGCTATCTAGATCCAGTGGTCCCTTTGCAGGAAATAATGTGACCTGCTCCCAAGTAAGTGTGAATGGCAGCCATTTAGGTTGAGTTTGCAAACTAAACAGTGATGGGTTCGCCAATGGACAGCATCATTCTAACATAATCTAACAAAGAAGCAATCCCAATTTAGGGCCTTTTCCCACTGCAGAGTTAGTACTATTCAACCATGGAAGGGAGGAGAAATGTACTGTCTTTATTTCCACTTCCTGACCTGCCTTGGACCTTTTGGTCTGACCTGCTGATGAATTGTAGGGCCCAGATTTTGAATGTGTACCATTTGAATGTGTACCAGTCATAAAGGAGAAAAAAAAACACATTTGATGAATTCCCCATCTTTGCTACCCTTCATATCACCAACCAGTGGGGCAAACATTTGCCAATCATGAAGTTGTGGCAAAAAATAAAGTGAGCCAAGCTTAGGAAGTTGAGACACAAACAACACTAAGGATTTTTCCCTCCTAGTTTCCTTTCTCTGCATAGGTCAAATAAATGCTGACTTTCAGGCTTCTTTGTAAGGGTTGAGGGGTATCCTATCCATTTTGCCATTTTGCTCTATTATCCTATTATGATCCAAAAAAAAAGTTCCTACTGATAAAGCATTTACAATTCCACTGGCTGAGTAGTCTTATATTACAAAATTTTGATAGCTATTTTGACTCTTTGAGAGACGACAGAGTATTACTATTATCTTTGGTTGCATAGTCAGACAGATACTTAGACTGGATTTGGCATTTTATCCCCCTATTGAGTTCTTTCCAAAGATCTGGGATGAGCAGATATTGTTGTTCCATGGTGTTAAAGGTATCCTCACAGAATGTAAGCCTTTTCTGAGTAAAACTGCCTTTTGCAATTGACTTGTGATTTTTGTCAATGCCAATGGTGTGTGAGCGGTGTTCCAGATGTTTTTGAATTGCACCCAAGGGACTGCTGCACCTATCGCTATTGGTACTATTGTTCTTATTATTAAAACTTCAAATAAAAGTAACCAAGAGACTATATGTATTAGATTGCATCTGAGTGAAATTTGATACATCACTTTGATTTTGCTTGCCACTTTAGCTCCCATACAATTATGGGACAAAACATCACCTATCTTACATACATTGTGATGAGGCTATGGATGAGATAACATTGTCATGGGGACATGACAGAAAAAAAGATGTTGCTAGGTCATTTTGGTGTTATGGTTAAATAGTAGGGTGGGGGACAGGAAAGATTTTGGATGTAAACCAAAGAAAATGTTGACTGAATTATTGCCTTCTCATCCATTAATTCATTTAGATAAGATGAATCTTACCCCACCAGCAAGAAAAGTTACTCTGTGTTTTTAAAAACATTTTAAGTCAAAATGCAAGTCCTTTAATGTTAACAGCTATGCTTGTAAAGCAAAGTTATTGTTTTATAAATGTACATTCCTGTGTGACATTAACATCAGTGAAAACAATTAAAGCCTGTTGGCACAGAGACACAGAAAAGTGCTTTGGTCTAAACTGAAGCAGATTAGCATCCATTTCATCAGGTTCAAGCCGATGGATCTGTAAATACATTAAATATATTTAAGATTGTTGAGCCATTTATTAAGATCAACTATTAGTCCTCCTGATGTTGATAAAATTGGTTACAAGTTGAAAAAGGCTGAAGCTTACCTAAAATTCAATCCAAACCAATTTGAACTATTCTGATGGAGACACTGTACCTGACCATATTCTTGATGTAGACATCTTCAGAGACTGTGATACAGAGAAGTCATATGCATGGTTCCATCTCTGCCCTTTCCTTTCCAATTATATATATAAAAAATCTTTAGCAGTGTTGGGAAAGACCTTTCCTTGAGACTCAGAAGAGCCACTGCAATCATAGTAGCCATATCAGGCTCAATGGGAAAATAACCTCACACTGGCTAACAAGTAGTCTTTGACTTAAGACCATTTGTTTAGTAACCATTCAAAGTTACCATGGTGCTGAAAAAAGTAATTTAAAACCAGTCCTCCCACTTATGACCATTGCAGCATTCCCAGAGTTATATGTGTAATCAAAATTTGGGTGCTTGTCACAGGCATGTATTCATGACAGTTGCAGTATCCTGGCCCATACATTTAATTGTATTTATTTATACATAATGAATATATAATCTTTATGTATTAATCTTAAGTACAAGCAACAAAACACTCCTGTATCACTTCTCTATTTATTCCTGCTTCCACTTCCTCCTACTCCCTTTGTCATTTTTCTGCCTTGAATTTTTGTCTGCAAGCTCTTTGTTTGCAGGAGGCAGAGGCCTGTTATCTTATATTCGGTGCTGTTCCCAGCATATTTACTTGGAAATATCCATAGGCCTCTTTGCTGTCAGGCTGCTGGTTGCGTCTCCCACAACTTTTTCTCTTTGTGCCCTGTTGCCATGAACAGGGTTTTTCCTGGTTTGAAATCCAGGAAAAGCAGTTGGCCCACTGCTGGCACAAGGCAGATTTAGAGGGCAAATTCAAACTGCGAAGATCCCACGGCCCACCAGTTTTCTCACCTCTCTTCTTTAGTTTTCCAAACAGGTGTGGCTGTCTGAGAATCTAGAAAAGTGTATTGGGTGGGTGGCCCTGACTTTGAGTAGGCACTAGTACCTTTCTACTTTGTGAGCTGCTTGAAATGTGATCGCAAAGATTAGCTTTTGCAGTTCTACAATGGGCCTCTCTCTTTTGTGTCATGTTCAAAGGGAATGTGCAGAACTACAATAAACATCTCCACAAAACCAGGGATTGGCTGAGTCTCTAGCCTGATTCCTACAAAGAGCAGATGTAGTTGGGAAAAGAAATATTTGCAAATTATGCCATTTTGGACTATAGGACTAAAGCATTAGAAAGATAATTTTCAGTTTCCTCAAAACTGCAAGGAACTCTGCAAATTTTACAAAATCCCAATTTCTTTCAGAAGTGTACTTCTTTTCCATTTATGGTTTTCCGGGCTCTGGACATTTTCTGACATGGGTGGGATTTACGAAACCAGTATCTTTGTTTGGGCAGGTTGGTCCAGATGTGCTGTAGACATCTGGAAAATAATCTGTTAAATTGTTTTTACAACAGCAATGACACTTTTTCCCCCTCCCAAAATAGGAGGGGAAAATGAAGAGAGGTAACTTGGGATAAACATTTGTGAGAAAAATCAACAAACCAAACTCATTTAAGTTTAGTATTGAATTCCTGAGTCATTCCTGAACTGCGAATGGATTCAGAAGGCACCCTGCTCCTTAATTTTATATACAGGTCCCTCACACCCAGCCTTTGTTAATAGGTTTTGGATTCTAATAAAATAGCAAAAAAAAAAAAAAAAAAGTTGACAAGCCTGGAGCTCACACTTTCCCTATCCTGGTTTGTTCAGTTCTCCTGGCTCAAACTTAGCGGGTCTTCTGCCAATGATAGGAACACACCTGCACCCAAGGAAATTCTTCAACCTGCAATCTGAAGGGATCTTGGAATTTTGGTCCTGAAAATAAAGAGAAAGGCAACCTCCTGGAATCACCCAAGAAAAATGGGAATTGCCAACCCTCAAAGAAGAGAGTGGAGGGTGTACGGAAAAGACCTCGATATGTGTTTAAATCCCCTGCCCACCCCACCCCCCCTTACGACTCTTAAGTACAGCGCGAGCGCCCTTCCTGTTTGCATTCGCCTCTTAAGTGCAGGATCAAACGATGCCCGCCCAATGGGTCAAACCGCACAGCTCGTACATTCCTCGCTGGATGAGGCTCCAGGGACAATAAAATCTTCCCGATTGCCCTTCCCCGCCTTAAACTCTTATCTCAGCCCCAGAGCGGCTTGTTATCGGGACATTTTATGTATTTAGCAATCCTCCCCCGGGACGGGGTGTGTGTATGCGTGTGTGTTGGAAACGGAGGAGGATCTTCTCAATCCCACAACAAAGAGCCCGCAAAGCCGATCAATTTGCATCCAAGAGGAGAGCCAGGGTGTTCCGAGCAGGCTTCCCTTCCCACTCTCCCCCCCCTCGCCCGGCCTTCCCAGCGCTACGGAGCACAAGAGTGACGGTCAACAGGCAACGGCGAAAGCTGAAGAGCGAATCAATCAAAGGGAAGGTGCGAGTCCTCCTTCGGGGGGGGGAGGGGAAACAATTCCACGGCATCACGAATGGGGGACGTGGGGGGAGGAGGCGAGGTGCGGTGCAAACTCCGATCACAGATGCCTGCGCTTCGGTCGGTTCCGTCGCCAAACCGGTGGAGCCGTGCCATTTGATTGTTCAGGTGAAGGCAAGCAGAAACTGAAGCATCCAGCCAAAGTTGAGCATTTCAAGGTCAGCTCCAGACATTCCGGCACCAGAAGTATAAAATCCAAATGGTTCTTTTTAAAATCATATACATGAAAAATCATTGGCCATTTGCAAATCTTCGAGGGCACTAGAATCGTCCTGCTTGGGGGTGCTGATTTCAGTGTCCCTCTGAGAGGTACTTCAACCTAGTTCAGATACACGGACCTTGGATGACTCGGTCAACAAATATTGTTATGGATCAGCCACTAGGAGAACTTGCTGCCTTCACCAGAGAACAAAATAAGAGGCTTGGAAGGGATCTTGGAGGTCTGCTAGTCCAACCCCCTGCTGAAGCAGGAAACCCTATACCCATGATGGCGAACCTATGGCATGGGTGTCACAGGTGGCACATGGAGCCATATCTGTGGGCACGCAAGCATTGCCCTACCTCAGTCCAGCAGCATGTGTGCGCTGGCCAATTGATTTTTGGGCCTTCCAGGGCACCGGAAGTCGGGAAATGGGCTATTTCCAGGCCTCCAAAGGGTCTCTGGGAGAGTGGGGAAGGCTGTTTTCACCCCCCCAGGTTCCTAGAAAGGCTCTGGAGCCTGGGGAGGGCAAAAAAAATGGGCTTACGGGGCCCACCATTCCATTGCGTGCCAAAAGCGGGGGGAAAGTGGGGGGGTCATGCGTGCATGCATAGGGGGAAGGGGCACATTGAATTATGGGTGTGGGCATGTGCGCACAATCCCCCCGACTGCCCCCACTTTTGGCACACGATGGCAAAAAGGTTAGCCGTCACTGCCCTATACCATTCCAGACAGATGGCTGTCCAATCTCTTCTTAAAAGCCTCCAATGATGAAGCATCCACAACTTCTGAAAGCAAGCTCTTCCACTGGTTAATTGTTCTTACTCTCAGGAAATCTCTCCTTAGTTCCAGGTTGCTTCTCTCCTTGATTAGTTTCCATTCATACTTTCTTGTCCTGCCTTCTGGTGCTTTGAAAAATAGGCTGACTTCCTCTTTTTTGTGACTTTTTTTTTCCAGTTCTCAAAGGACTAGGGGGAAAAAAGCCCATCAAAGCCCCTCAGAGGACTGCCCGGGTCTTCAATCCAAGGTACAAAGCAAATCTTGAGAACCAGTTGATGGCTACACATGGCCAAGTGATCTGTAGGTGCTAAAGTGATCACACCTAATCTCCAGGGTGTATGAGCTTGCCAAATGGAATTGGAACCCATTTCAATACAACAGCTAAATATATGCATTTATCACAAGCACAAATGACTCTGCTATTAAATGTTGCTACCAAGGAGCTGCTAGATTCAAGAATCAAATTGTCCATTGCTCTGTCATGATGGGATTTGATTTGCCTATGGGCTCTGCTGTTCCAGCTTCATGCCTGAATTTCAGATGTGTTTGGAGTGCACCCAGGTTGTGTGAATTTATAATGTTTAAATGCTTTCCCAGGCAGCTTTCATTTCTCATATAAGCACTGTATTTATTTACCAGTTATTTCATTTTAAATCCTGCCTTTCTAACTACAGGGCAGACAAGATAGTAGTCATAAACCAAAATATGAAATACTTAAAATCTAATAAAAAGCTAAAATCATTGTTCATTTGTATCCATTTGCAGTATAATATCTGCACATCTGTGAGATCCACACCATACACTGTACAAATAGAACACAATTAGACATCTCTACTGAAGTCATGTTGAAATCACCTCTCATGTCTTTTGTGACAGATCTACATTAATTAGGATGAATCTACCTTTGATGCCTGAGCGAGACACACACTGCAGCTGGGAAGAGGAAGATCCTAGTCCATCCTTTACTGCATTTTAATACTGTAGCAATCAGTGTATAACCATCTACCAGAATCATCAAACCAACTAAAACTGAAACATTTGTGGAGCAATTCTTTTTCTGTCACAATCACAACTGACACAGCCTCCTAATGTTACAAGTTTGGACAGAAAGGAACATAGTTTGAGAAGAATTCAGAGGAAACCAGTTTCTTTTATGGCTAAACTACTGGTTTGAACTCCATGAACTCCATCCCACATGTACAAGACTTTCTGCTGTGTGAGTGTCACAAATTAAAAGGAGTTTGGTAGAATATTTTCAGACTAACTGCTTTTATTAAATCTTATTGTCCTTTTAATAAAATTGGTTAGTCTGAGGAAGTGCTACCAGATTCCTTTAGATGTTTGGCTACCATAAAATACACAATTACCTGTGTGTGTGTGTGTGTGTGTGTGAGAGAGAGAGAGAGGGGGGGGGGAACAAGAGAGAGAGAGAGAGGGAACAAGAGAGAGAGATCCAGAGATCCAGTTAACTTTGCAGTGTGGAGAAAATACGGGCCTAAAATTATCAAATTGGAAGAGGCTGCTTGGCCATCAAATCCAATCCAATACAAGAGATTCTTCAATGTCTGCTTAAAGGTATCCTCTTCTCTAGATAATTAAGTCTATTTTTTCACTGCTGTTATTGTAAGGAAGGTTTTTCTAAGATCCTTTATAATTAATAATCATTAATAGGAGCACAATAAATCCTACTTTTGCAAACAGAGTTCTTCTAGGATCTGTCCTACAGCACCCTGTGTGGGTACAGGACAGTCTAGCTGAAACAAGCTTCTGGGGTGGTCTTCTACCTTTCTCCCTCCCAGTCTTATTCCTTGCTTCAATAGCAAAGAGGTCGTGGCCTCCTTCTGTGCAACTCCCTTCAGATATATGTCACAAGAATAGGGCACCAGCATCCTCTCTTGGTCTTCTCAACGCAGCATAACCAGTTCAGAACTGCACTACCCTTACAACAAGCCGTTAATTTTAGATCATGTGAAAGAAATTCCAAAGGTTAATTATTTAATTTATTAATAGTGCATTTTTTATTGTTAGAGACAAGTACTTCTGTGCGATCCAAAGACAAAGCTGCCTTGAATTCTAGCAGGGATTCAGAATAGAGAGGTGTCATTTGCCTTGGCTATCAAAATAGCTCACCATGGAGACTTACAACTACAAAAAATTTTATATTTTCCAGCATTATTTGAAGTTTTTCTTACTTCTACATTTTTTTTTTTTAAAAAAAAGTTCATTAGAAGTAGATATAGATGATCCTGAAGAACAATCAGTTACGGTTTGAAACAATACCTTTCCTACTCCAGCTCAGATGTGGCCTCTGGCATACCCATATATATGCATTGAGAAATATACTAAATTATAATGTGTGATATTTCTGTGAGGCAGAAAGATAGGTACAGATTGTCTTGCTGAATTGGATGTCATATATATGATATGGAAATATATATATATATATATATATATATATATATATATATATATATATATATATATATATATATATATATATATATATATACACACACACACACACACACACACACACACACACACACATATACACACATATACATATATATTTTCGTAGATTTTCACGGGTACATATTTTCACGGGTATATATTGTATATATGCATATATATACACACATATATACACTGCTCAAAAATCTAAAGGGAACACAAGCAGAAGACATCCGAGATCTGAATGAATGAAATAGCCTTATTAAATACTTTGTTCGTTACGTACAGTAGTTTTGTGTTCCCTTTAGTTGTTTGAGCAGTGTATAAACTACTGTATGTAAAGAACAAAGTATTTAATAAGGCTATTTCATTCATTCAGATCTCGGATGTCTTCTGCTTGTGTTCCCTTTATTTTTTGAGCAGTATACATACATACATATACATACACATACACATAAATACACACTCTATCTCTCTCTGTCTCACACACACACACACCATTGTGGATAAGATGGAAAAATTCTCTGGTTATGTGCTCCATGGTGAATAAATTGAGCCCTATATGAAACTTGTATTCATTAGAAATCATGATGAAAATGCATAAATTAAGTTATGTTTAAAAGAGGGAGAATAATTTTTCTTTTCTTCTTCTTCTTCTTCTTCTTCTTCTTCTTCTTCTTCTTCTTCTTCCTCTTTTCTTTTTCTTTTCTTTTTTTCCCCCTTTTCTTTTTTTGGAGCAACCCAGGTTTAATGCCCAGTAAATGATATTTTATTGTCTTTCCTTTACTGTGGCATTTCAATGATCCCCTTTCGGAGCCTGCAAATGGCATAGGTTAAAGGTCATTTCTCAAATCACTGGAATTAGTAAAGAATCGCAAAAAAAAAAAAAACTGTAAAGAGGGGGAAGGGTAGTGCAATAAAACAAGCCAGCCTGCCTGAAATAAACCCATAAAGAGTCTGTTTGCTTGGATGTTTCTCAGGGTGTAATTGACCAATGTCATTGGGGGAAAGGAAAACACCTGGGGGGGGAGCAGTCAACAGGCAAGAGGAAGGAGGCCAGCAGGCGCAGGATATATATAAAAACAAGCCCAGGTTGCATCTTAAGGGGGCATTGCAAGCTGCTCCTCTTCCTGTTTCAGAAATTTTAAAAAAATAAAAAAAGGAAAGAAATCCCATTTAAAAAACGCGTCTTTTGAAAACAAGGCTCAGGCAAGAGAACTGCAAGACAGGCCACAAGATTGGGAATGTTTCCTTAACAATCCCACCCCCACTGCCCCCAGTGCCCCCCTCCCCATTAAAACAACTGGGGAGGCAAAAGGGGTGGAGAGAAAGGGGTCAATAATGCTTCAAGCACTCAGGTTTCCATAGCTTTTGTTTTCTACCCCTTTTCTTTTATTAAAAGGGATGGGTGGAGTGGGGAGGGGGGGGAGGAACTGAGATCTGGAGTAACAGAGAACTCATTTTCCAGGCTTTAACTGCAAAGCTTTCAAAGGGGCTCAAACAGCAAAAGTGCTAATTAAGGCACCAGGACAAAGAACTGCCAATAAAGGGCTGCATTTCATTCTTTTGATATCATTTATTGTCTAAATAACAATAAAACAAAAACCATAATATATTTTTTTGGATCCTGGACAATGTTGATCACCTGATCACTCAAGCCACTTCAGGGCTGATTGTTGGTGCTGTTCAGACCACAAATAAGAGTGCCAAATGATACCACACTGCACCAGTGAGACTAGGATTCAGCTGACTTAACAGCCAAAGGCTACCCACAAGAAGCTAAACTAGTCCTTGATTTACAGCAGTTCACTTAGTGACTGTTCAAAGTTACAACATCACTGAAAAAAGTGACCTATGAGTTATGACCATTTTTCGCACTTGCAACCATTGCAGCATCCCCATGGTTACATGTTCAAAATTCAGATGCTTGGCAACTGGCTCATATTTATGACGGTTGCAATGTCCCAGAGTCATGTGATCACTTTTCTGACAAGCAAAGTCAATGGGGAAATCAGTTTCACTTAACAATCGCGTGACTAATTTACTAACTGCAATGATTCACTTAGCAACTGTGGCACGAAAAGTCGTAAAATGGGGCAAAACTCACTTAATAAATGTTTCACTTAGCAACAGAACTTTTGGGATCAATTGTGATCATAAGTCAAGAACTATCTGTACTAGATTTATTAATTGATACACCAAAGCTTTTGTGTCTTGGTAACAATAAAACAGGTCAGCTGAGAAATAAAGTCCATTTCTTATTATTTTACCTATTTGTCTCTCATCTCTCTCTCTCTCTCTCTCTCTCTCTCTCTCTTTCTCTTTTCCTCTACAAAGATCAACATATGATTTATCCACCATGAGTCCACCTTGTGGGACAAACTGAGATATAAGTGATACAATAGTTGTCCAGGGAATGTCACAGAAGATGTGTGAAGCAAAGTCAGCCTTTGCTGGCCACTGTATTCCTCCTTTTTTTAACCTATGGTCAAAGAGATGGTAAAAACAACATTCAAACATACCTTGGTGTATCTTTCCTGGCAGAGGTGAACAACATTGGAAGGAATAATATGTGTTTTATTTTCTTGTCTTTAAAACTTTTTACTTATTGTACAATTGATTCACTGTCCGTAAAGGTGCCCATAAAGAAATGCGACTATAACATTATAACATAGAAAAGTATTAAAGCTAAAGCAATTAATGTACAGATTATAATTTTCCATTCAAAATCTAGTTTATATTTGTTCATATGTTTGTTAAATTTCTATCACACTTTTCCTCCTTGATAAAGTATATTGTCACCCTTCCCCACAATATTTATCCCTTGAATAATAACTCTGTGAAGTGTTCAGTTTGAGAGAAAGTGACTTGGCTCAAGTCTCCCAATATCAGTATATCCACCTATTTTTCTGTTTAGACAAATCATTGGCTGCCTCAGTTGCCAAAGCAGCTCAAAGCAGTGCACAATATGGAATAGAAATAGGTTAAAAAACAACCCATTAGAAAAACAACAACCAACAAAGGGTGGGCATGATAGGGGAGAAGAAATAACTGATTACACATTGTCTAACATTTCAATCTTCGGTTTAATGTTGATTTATTGTTTACACGTTTACTTTTATCATACTGTTGAATATCCTGTGAATATTTACCCTAAGGAGCAGCTTACTGTATAAATACTATTATTTACTTTAATCATTTCATTACATAGTCTAGGGCCATAGAATGTTGTTGTTGTCTGTTATTCCAATTGTGTTATTCAATACTCACAACGAACAAACTAATGGACATCCTTAGCACTTCCTGTTAATTTGTCATTGGATTAAAGGGCTTTGTGTTTTCAGAACTTGGGCAGGGAGGAAAAAACCCAGCCATTATTCTTTATCTCCAAAAGCTAGGTATTATCTGCCAATGACAACACCTATTACTGACTAATGCATTTATTCTACCATCCCCATCCTGAATCTAACTTTGAACTAGATATGACATGGCTGATAATTCTTGCCTAGGCTTTTGACTCTTGCTTCTTCCCACCCAATATCTTGGGTGATAAAGAGATCTGGAAGAGATCTTTGAAAACTTAG